GTACCCTTGGTGTAGTAATCAAATATTTGATAATAAGTCCGATCAAACATCAAGTTTATCTTTAAACTGACTCAATATTCACATAATTGAAAACGTTATAATTGTCTCATATTTATTACCACAGGTGTGCAAATAATTCTGCTAAATATCGACCATCCTTTGAGCTGCTGAAAATTCGCATGAGTTATATACACATAACCTTCATAATATTTCAAATAAATTAATTTAGGCAAGAGATATTACTTTAATAACATGTTGTTTCAACTAATCTATTTTAGAAAACTAGTAATTTGAAAGAAACTTTAAAATACCAAAATTTGAAATTGATTGCTCCTTCATATTTTTATCTTTACTTTTTCTCTTTGTGGCCAAAAGAAAAAAATTTCGAAAAATCAAGGTTGCGTGGGTATTGAAGTGCAAGGCCAGCGCTACACGCAATGCCCAAAAGTGGCATTGCGGCATCGTAGCTGTCGTTTTGAATCAGAATTTTCTAAAATTCCCAAAAAAATCTGAATTTTAAATTCTAGTGTTAAAATTCGTAGCTTTCATTGGAAAATCCAAATTATAACCTTTAACTCTAAAATTCTAACTTGAAAAATTTTGAATTTTGAAGTTTGTGGCTAAAATTCATATTCCAAACTAAAAGATTCCAAAACTCAGTATATGAATTTAGCCACTAAATTCTTCCTTTAGTCCAATTAGTTTAACATGAATTGATTTTGATACCACTTGCTGAATTCTTATGAAACTTTAAAACTTGAAAATATAATTACTATATTGCTAAGATCCTCCATATCAAATCACCAAGAAAATTAATAATGTAGAACATACTTTAATTATTTGGAAATGATTTTTTATTACTGGATCTTGATTCTGGATCTCGAATCTTGAAAAGCAACTTGGAATCCCCTTTTTGATTGATTTATTGTTTTCAATCTCGAATTTTGCCTCATTAATCGTTTGATTATTGTTCTTGATTTTGCTTCTTGATCCATAACCCATACTTTATTTAGATTTACTTAATTATTTATTAGATCACTTTAATTTTGGATTTAACTTTAAAATAATATTTATACATAATTCATTACAAGTGTGGGCTCACATGACAAATTAAATAATTTCCCAACCAGAAGGTCCCTCTTTCCACTGAATCTCCCAATTATTGAAATGCACGTAATTGAGCAACAGGCTTTAGCAACTGTCAATTTTAGGAATCCCAACTTTTCTTTACATAATAATAACGTATTTTCATCTTCATTTTTTTCCATAGTTTTAGCACAGCAAGAAAATAATTCCCGTCCTCTATTTTATTGATCTCAGTTCTACAAGCAAACACCATATAACTGAAAAACGTTTTACAATATAACCAAGTGTCGTTAATAATAGGAAAAATTGCAACAAAGATTCCAAACCTTTTATTTTGCTGTATAATACACCTTATCCTATTATTTTTGTGATCATAATCGCAAGCCTTTAACTTATTGCAGCCAAAGTCCATTTGAAAAATTCTATTTGTTTATCCATTAGTGAACCCTTGAATTGAATATTTGACTCAAATTGGTGAAATGGTCAATTTACATTTTCTATCATAAAAACTTTAAGTGCTGTTTGTTTCCTTTTTTTTCTTATTAAAATAAAAAATATGATCGATATCCATCACATCGAGCTACCAAATTTGAATTTCTATTTCTTGTGTGGCGGTCCATAACGATTCTATTTTTCATTCTCATTCTTACCAAAATGAGACACAAACGGGGCCTAAAATAATTAAATTAAAAAAAGAGACTATTCATCATCTTCTTCAACCACCTTACCCCGCATCCACGCCACCCCTTCCCTTTTTGAGTCCTGTAAATTTCCCTTCTTTCTAGCTCTAAAAACCTAACTAAGAAATCCCGAAGTATTGTCTGTTTCAAAAAAATATATAAAGCATCAAATGGAGAAAGGAAACGAGGCCTCAAAGTCTCGCCCCGAACCAAAAGCTAGCTGCAGCAACAAAGAATCCCAAGTGATATTCAATGTATATGATTTCACATATGTAAATCAGTGCTCTATTTGGTTTGGTTTGGCGTCTTCCATTCGGGCATTGAAGGTTGTATTCAATATAATTTATGTATGTTTATGCTCGATTTTCTGATAGGACATGAAAATGGGTTCTCTTGATTTGTTGAAATTTTGAGGTGGATAGGAAATTTGATAGGGATCTTGAAATGAGAATTATTTGAATTCTAGTTGTTTGAACTTCAATTCAAATTAGTTGAATGAAAATATGAATTGGGTTTTTCTTAAAAGAAAAAAAAAATCTTTCTAATGAAGTGCCACAATTCAATACCAGCTCAATCTTGTTTTTGGAGTGCACTGATTGGGAGAGATTTTTCCTAATTACTATCTCTTGTCATGATTATTTGAGTTGTGCATCTTTTTGAATTTCACATAATAGAGTTTTTAATCTTGAAGAAACCCAATTTGTGTTTCGAGGTTTGATGAAATAGACAACAATTTGGAATTTCTTAATCTTATTTGGGTTTTGAGAGATGGAAAGAAGGAGAATTTACAGAAGTCAATGGGAACGATGAGGGTGGGTGCGTGGGGAGGAAATTGAAGAAGAAGATGAATAATTATCTTTTTCATATTTAATTATTTTAAAGTTTTTATTATAGAAAATATAAACTGGTCATTTTACCCATAATTTAATTTTGTTAATTTTGAGTCAAACATCTAATTTAAGAGTTGACTAACGGATAAATGGATGGAATCTTTCAAATGGACTCCAGCTACAATAGAAGTCAAAGGTTTGAAATTGGGACTACAAAATGAAATGTCAAGGTGTCTTTTAAAGAAAAATGAAAGGTTTGTGACCTTCGATACAATTTTTTCTTAATAATAATACGAAGATTTTACTAATACAGTCTAACCCATGCATTAAACTTTTTCAATCACAGCAACCATTGGACAAATCATAAACCCGTAAATCAAAATTTATCACACCAACATTAGGCACTAGAAAACACAATTAATTATAGGAATCCCTAAATTAATTTTGATTCTTCCGAGCTCATTACAATGAAACAACAGATCGACTGATGCAATCGTACAGAATTTTGAAATGCATCTATTAGCATTTAATCATATAGAAGTCATTTAGAAACATTAAATATATACATGAATTATAGAAATCATATTACTTACCGATAGGGGTGGTTGGTGGCGCCGAGCACGAGAGAGGGAACGGACGGCTGTGGGTTGCTCAGCCTGCTCTAGTGAGAATAAAGTACCGGTCGACTTCGGGTTCTTCTCTCTTGCACACATGCTTAGTGACAAATATAAAGGAAGGAATTGACACTTAAATATGATTTTTCTCATTAAAAAAAAATTGAGGCCCCCTTTTAAATTGGGCCGAGGCAAAGACCTCATTTGTTTTTGTCACAATCGGGTCTGATGTATGATTAAAAATGAGTTTGAAAAAAAAAACTTTTGATTTAATGAAGGACAAGTTCAAGTACATATTTATTTTTTGCAACAAATCTAGGACATCAAAGGGTTTTAAAATGACTCCATTCATTTCCCTTTGGGTATTACGTCGGGAAATAATGCCTCAATTTGGCTCCATTTTCTAAAATTCATTTTTATTTATACATTGAACCTAATTTTCAACTTTTATTAACTTTTCAACTTCATATTTTATCCTTTTTGTTTAATCAAAATTTAGCCCCATTTTATTGAAAACTCATTTTAAATTACATATTCTCTCTAATAAAATAATTTTACGTGTAAATTGAAATTTATTTTCTTATTTTTTAATTACACATTATTTAAAAAATTTCAAAATCAATTTTTGTCCAAAATGGGGCTCAAACAAATGCTAAAAATCTTGTATAAAGTGTATATACAAATTTGGTTGGCAAAATCCAGACTATTGATTTTTAATAAATTACGCTTCCATGGCTAAGACTTAAAAATAAGCCCCGTTTGGCCCCCCATTAATTTTGATTATAATGGGAGAATAATATTTTTTTTGAAAAATGAATGGTTGTGAAAAAATAAATTTTTTATTTATTTATGTGTAATATTATTTTATTGAAAATTGTGTTATTGAAAATAAGAGAGAAAAATTTAATTTACCCCTTGTTTGGTTCCCATTCTTTTAAAAATTCATTTAGCTCTTGTTTGACCCCATTTTGGGGTATAGAATGATTTTTTGAATAGTGTATTGATGTGAAATGTGTAGTTAAAAAATAATGAAAAGTTTTAAATATGTGTGTACTATTATTTTATTGAAAAATGTGTGGTTGAAATGATGTTAAAATACTGTTGAAAAAAGCATTTTTACCAAAGAATGGGGATTAAACAAGGGCTTATTCAAAATTCATTTTCAACTGCACATTCTTCAATAAAATAATATTACATGCAATTCAAAATCTTTCCTTAATTTTTAACTACACATTCTCATCAATTTATTATTCAAAATGCACTATTTTTCCAAAATGGGGATCAAACAAGGGTTTAATTTGATGCGATTTATTTGGGGGGTTGGGGGGGGCTAAGAGCTTATTTGGTACATATTTTAAATCAATTAAAATCAATTTTTTGATCGTTATTTTGTTATTTCAGCAGTCTTTTTTGAATTTTTTTTTCACAGATAGGATACAATTTATCTCTAACGATTAAAAAATTAATTATCAAAATTTCTACTAAACAGACAAACAAAATAGAATGATGGAAAAGATTTGGCCCCCGTTTGACCCTCATTATCTGAAAATGAAAATGGGGGGAATAATATTTTTTAGAAAAATGAGTGGTTGAAAAAAAAGGAAAATTTTCGATTTATGTGTGATATTATTTTATGGAAAATTATGTGGTTGAAAATAGGAGAGAAAAAAATGAAATGTAATGTAATTAAATTTAACGTGGATGACTTGATCACGTGCAAACTCCAATTGATTTGAATTCGGACCTGTGCGCCTTTTCTCCAATAATAATTACATTTTCTGCCCTTCTCTATCATCTCTCTTTGGATTCCATATACAAATCCCCGAGGCGCCCTCAATATTTAAATCCTCATTCAATCACTACATTCGGAATCTCTCTTTCCAGTATCAGCTCAAAACGAAATCACCTGCCTCCGATTTAGGTAACATTTTTCTTTCATTATTCATTTTGTACATTCACTGAGCCGTTAGATAACGGATTCTCTTCTTTCTAATTTTTCTTTTTTTGGCTGATCTATGTATATAATTGAAACGTGGTTTTTACAACCCTAACGTTTTGGAATCTGATTGTTCAATTTCATTTTTTCTTGAAAGATGGAATGATAATCCCTAATTTTGTTTTTTTATTTCTTTTCTCTGTTAATATTTCTGAAGCTAGGGATTTTAATTTGTTGTCTTGGTAGTATATGATTGAGAATGGAAATGGATAACTCTGATAATAAGGACTCTTCGCAATGTGTAAGAGTTGCTGTGAATATTAGACCACTGGTTACATCCGAGCTTCTCGTAGGATGTACTGACTGCATTTCCGTGTTTCCAGCTGAAAGTCAGGTAGTCATTCAACTAATGCTTCCCCCTTATTTTTTTTTTTCCTTCAAGATTTCCTGCATTAAGTTTTATATGTGAGGGGATGGGTTTGAACTTTGATTTACAAGTTGAACCTTTTATTGATGATGCCTTTGGTGCTTCTGGATGCATGAACAGGTCCAGATTGGATCGCACTCCTTCACGTTTGATTACATTTTTGGGAGTGGGGGGTATCCATGTTCGCGCATATTTGATGAATGTGTTGCTCCACTTGTTGACTCTCTCTTCCATGGCTACAATGGCACAGTGCTTGCCTATGGCCAGGTCATATTTATTATCATTTAACAGCTTTGTTACTTGGAGAATTCTCTCAAGATAGTGTGTTTTGGAGTGCAAATATCCCTCATTATCACTTGTAATATTAGCTTCATCTATGAGTTGCACTTAGAAATTTAAGTTAACATGTAAACTAATATATTATACTTGGTTATTGTGTTTTAGACCGGGTCAGGAAAAACTTACACAATGGGTACAAATTATCATGGAGAAGAGCATCAAAATGGTGTCATTCCTAAAGTAATGGATACCATTTTTTCAAAAGTGGAGTCTATGAAAGAGTCCAAAGAGTTTTTGATCAGAGTATCTTTCATTGAGGTATTAGTTGTGAAGTTACAAATACCAACCTTTGTTTGGGCATTTTTCGTATTTAATCCTTTATGTTTATTTTTTTGTTATAATTTTGCAGATCTTCAAGGAAGATGTGTTTGATTTGCTGGATCAAAACATACCATTTGTGTCCAGAAATGATGTGCCACCAGTTGTGAAGTCTACTTGTCCTGCAAGAGTTCCCATTCAAATTCGAGAAACAGTGAGTGGAGGGATTACACTTGCCGGAGTAAGAGAGGCAGAGGTCAATACAAAAGATGAGATGGCATCATACTTATTGCAGGGTTCGGTATCTCGTGCCACTGGGAGCACAAATATGAATAGTCAGTCAAGGTAGGATTTTTTTGACACCTCAATGATAATTGAAGTGGCAGTATTCAATCTTGGTGTGCTCAACATGTGGCTTTTTGGTTAGTGAACTTTTTAAGTGTAAATATGTTGTGTTGAAAAGAAACAGAAAGTGAACCAAATTCCCCTTCCCATTCCTTTTGTTCCCTTACAAAATGGTAGAGGTCATGTCTAATGACTCATTTATTATTAGGAAACTTAATGGAAGATCATGACTTAATTTTAATTTTGGTGTTCTCTTTATTGAAGCATTTGTTTCATAATGAAGAATCTTCCCATGATTATGTTTGTAAACACATAGTGCCAGTGCATTTTTTCCTTTTGTCAGTCGAATTCTCGGAATTAAAGTAGTACAGGGTTTTGTTCCCATCACAACTTATATTAAGTAACCTTCCTAAAAGGCTTTTTGCTACACTTTATTTGTCAACATAGTCGTTCACATGCCATCTTCACAATATCTATGGAGCAAAAGAGAATAACCAGTTCTTCAGCTGGAGATGATGTGGCGGATGAAATTTTGACTGCTAAACTACATTTGGTTGACCTTGCGGGATCTGAGCGTGCAAAACGAACAGGTGCAGATGGAACACGCTTACGCGAAGGTAATGCTATTTATGTTCATTAATTTTTTTCTATGTTGTTTGGTATTTCTTGATCTTCGAAAAGTTTGAATGGAATTTCTATTTTCTGGGTCTAGGCATCCACATTAACAAGGGATTGCTTGCGCTTGGTAATGTCATAAGTGCCTTGGGTGATGACAAGAAGAGAAAAGGAGGTCATGTTCCTTATCGAGACAGCAAGTTAACACGTTTATTGCAGGTAAGGAACTAAACTTCTGCCCCTCCACCCTTTCTCCGATAAAGGAAAAATATACATGTACGAAGAATCAATTTCAATGCATAGGAGCACTTATTGTGCTGGGATTATTTTACTACAACATCATGTTTTGTATGTTAGTCTGTTCTATTACAGTTACGAGTAGAGCTGTGATGATCCTAGTAGATTAACCAAAACTATTAGACTTTAGGAATAAGATGATCTGAAGGGATATGTGCATAGTGTTTTGATGCTTTTGGCATTATAACCCATTAACCATGTTTCAAGAAACTAGCGAATCATTAGCCTTTTCAATAGGAGGAAAAGATAGTCATGAAGAGGGATGATTTTGTTAACCAAAACAAGGTCCAAGAAGAATACGAAAAACTCAATTTCCTTTATAATAATTGCGAAACGATTTTCTAATAAAGAAAATTCTTTATTTTCAATCATAAATATCAATTTAAAATAAACAAACGAGTCTTTGAACAAATAAAACTAACAAATAATTTAGAGATATAAAAAAAGAACAAATAAAATGTTAAATTTCTTTTTCCTTCCTTCGATCACTTGGTAGCCCGTATCACCATCCCGCCACAATTTCAATCGACCCGAACTAACATGTAAAAATTTAGAAGAGCGAACATTCGAAAACACCCAATAAAATACATGCAATTTCCATATACAGATATATAACAATAAAATTTATATTTCATACCGTTCTACTCTTATGGAGTATATCGGTGATTAAGTGATACACCCATCTTAGGTTCTCTTATATCTCATAGGATTTCATTTCTTTTTTTATAGAACCCGAAATTTCACTGACAATCCATGCATATTTAATTGCATATAAAAACATATAAAAACGAAAACAACTTACACATATGTATCTTACCTCGTTTATTTAAGAATTGCAAAATGGTTTCTTGTCTTCTAGTTCCTAAAAGTAACCCCTCTCTCTCTTACGTGTGTATAACTTTTGGTGTATGAATTATGGAATCCATGTATAGTATTTATACTAATAAAAAATGGTTGAGTTATATTAGAAAACATGTACCCTATTGGATAAAACATAGTTTAGGTATTTGGATTGTATTTTACTAATAAATTCATAGTTATCCAAATAGGATACTAGCTATCACATTAAATTTAAAATAGGTTAATACTAAACTAAAAATAATATTAAAATTCAATACCCACCCTCACGTTTTTGGAGAAAGAAAATGAATTGAATTATAGTTTAAATAAAATTCTGTTTATCCTATTTTCTTTCAATTGAGTCTAACTTAATGTGTTCTTATCTAAAATAACTTTTTCTTGAGTCAAAGGCTTCTAATTAATTACGACTTATAAAATGAGTCCAATATCGATATACTAAATCTGGCACTAACAATATCTAATTATTCGCATCAAATAACATAGGAATTTAAAACATTTTTCATCTTAGTCCTCGATTTAAAAAAATGTAAATATATAATATATAAAATAAATAAATTTTATTCTAAAATTTTAGGGGCATTACAGTTCCGTTGGTTTTTAAGCAAGATGAGACACGTCCATGATATGCTCCAGTATATTTTCTTTAACCTTATACTTTAGGAAAATCTAATTTGCCAGAAGCATAGTAGTTTCGACCTTATCGCTTTTTCAAAAAGTATTTTTTGGAATATTTCTATAAGAAATTTTTTGGCAGTTACCTTATTGGACACAGTGCCCTTGAATTTTGTTGGAATTTTATGTTTCGTGATCATAAGACTTATGTAGTTTGAACAATCTCGCTTATTTTAGTCCCGTTTTATTAGCGGAACCCTTATTCCTAAGAGTAGTGGATTGTTCAATTCTTAACGTAAGGTTTAGAGCCATGCCATCAAGAATGATACAACCATTCTCTTTCCAACCCTACTTAGGTTCAACCACATAAAATGAATTAATGTTGATAGATATTTCAGAAGCAGATAAATTAACCAAATAGAGAACTTCAACCTAAATAATATGTTCACATGAGAATCCATATTGGACAATAATAATTTCAAATAATGGTGGACCCCAGTACAAAAGACCGAGCACAACATTAATATTTAGCCAGTGGATAGAAATATCAACTTGTAAGTGGTACCCTTGGTGTAGTAATCAAATATTTGATAATAAGTCCGATCAAACATCAAGTTTATCTTTAAACTGACTCAATATTCACATAATTGAAAACGTTATAATTGTCTCATATTTATTACCACAGGTGTGCAAATAATTCTGCTAAATATCGACCATCCTTTGAGCTGCTGAAAATTCGCATGAGTTATATACACATAACCTTCATAATATTTCAAATAAATTAATTTAGGCAAGAGATATTACTTTAATAACATGTTGCTTCAACTAATCTATTTTAGAAAACTAGTAATTGGAAAGAAACTTTAAATACCAAAATTTGAAATTGATTGCTCCTTCATATTTTTATCTTTACTTTTTCTCTTTGTGGCCAAAAGAAAAAAATTTCGAAAAATCAAGGTTGCGTGGGTATTGAAGTGCAAGGCCAGCGCTACACGCAATGCCCAAAAGTGGCATTGCGGCATCGTAGCTGTCGTTTTGAATCAGAATTTTCTAAAATTCCCAAAAAAATCTGAATTTTAAATTCTAGTGTTAAAATTCGTAGCTTTCATTGGAAAATCCAAATTATAACCTTTAACTCTAAAATTCTAACTTGAAAAATTTTGAATTTCGAAGTTTGTGGCTAAAATTCATATTCCAAACTAAAAGATTCCAAAACTCAGTATATGAATTTAGCCACTAAATTCTTCCTTTAATCCAATTAGTTTAACATGAATTGATTTTGATACCACTTGCTGAATTCTTATGAAACTTTAAAACTTGAAAATATAATTACTATATTGCTAAGATCCTCCATATCAAATCACCAAGAAAATTAATAATGCAGAACATACTTTAATTATTTGGAAATGATTTTTTATTACTGGATCTTGATTCTGGATCTCGAATCTTGAAAAGCAACTTGGAATCCCCTTTTTGATTGATTTATTGTTTTCAATCTCGAATTTTGCCTCATTAATCGTTTGATTATTGTTCTTGATTTTGCTTCTTGATCCATAACCCATACTTTATTTAGATTTACTTAATTATTTATTAGATCACTTTAATTTTGGATTTAACTTTAAAATAATATTTATACATAATTCATTACAAGTGTGGGCTCACATGACAAATTAAATAATTTCCCAACCAGAAGGTCCCTCTTTCCACTGAATCTCCCAATTATTGAAATGCACGTAATTGAGCAACAGGCTTTAGCAACTGTCAATTTTAGGAATCCCAACTTTTCTTTACATAATAATAACGTATTTTCATCTTCATTTTTTTCCATAGTTTTAGCACAGCAAGAAAATAATTCCCGTCCTCTATTTTATTGATCTCAGTTCTACAAGCAAACACCATATAACTGAAAAACGTTTTACAATATAACCAAGTGTCGTTAATAATAGGAAAAATTGCAACAAAGATTCCAAACCTTTTATTTTGCTGTATAATACACCTTATCCTATTATTTTTGTGATCATAATTGCAAACCTTTAACTTATTGCAGCCAAAGTCCATTTGAAAAATTCTATTTGTTTATCCATTAGTCAACCCTTGAATTGAATATTTGACTCAAATTGGTGAAATGGTCAATTTACATTTTCTATCATAAAAACTTTAAGTGCTGTTTGCTTCCTTTTTTTTCTCATTAAAATAAAAAATATGATCGATATCCATCACATCGAGCCACCAAATTTGAATTTCTATTTCTTGTGTGGCGGTCCATAACGATTATATTTTTCATTCTCATTCTTACCAAAATGAGACACAAACGGGGCCTAAAATAATTAAATTAAAAAAGAGACTATTCATCATCTTCTTCAACCCCCTACCCCCGCATCCACGCCACCCCTTCCCTTTTTGAGTCCTGTAAATTTCCCTTCTTTCTAGCTCTAAAAACCTAACTAAGAAATCCCGAAGTATTGTCTGTTTCAAAAAAATATATAAAGCATCAAATGGAGAAAGGAAACGAGGCCTCAAAGTCTCGCCCCGAACCAAAAGCTAGCTGCAGCAACAAAGAATCCCAAGTGATATTCAATGTATATGATTTCACATATGTAAATCAGTGCTCTATTTGGTTTGGTTTGGCGTCTTCCATTCGGGCATTGAAGGTTGTATTCAATATAATTTATGTATGTTTATGCTCGATTTTCTGATAGGACATGAAAATGGGTTCTCTTGATTTGTTGAAATTTTGAGGTGGATAGGAAATTTGATAGGGATCTTGAAATGAGAATTATTTGAATTCTAGTTGTTTGAACTTCAATTCAAATTAGTTGAATGAAAATATGAATTGGGTTTTTCTTAAAAGAAAAAAAAAATTCTTTCTAATGAAGTGCCACAATTCAATACCAGCTCAATCTTGTTTTTGGAGTGCACTGATTGGGAGAGATTTTTCCTAATTATTATGTCCTTGTTTGGTCTCCATTAAATTACATTCCATTATATTTTATTTTTCTTTTTCCTATTTTCAATTACACAATCTTCTATAAAATAATATTACACGTAAATTGAAATTTTTTCTTTCTTTTTCAACCACTCATTTTTTCAACAAAACACTATTCCTCCCATTTTCATTACCAAAAACGGGGGCCAAACGGGGGCTATCTCTTGTCATGATTATTTGAGTTGTGCATCTTTTTGAATTTCACATAATAGAGTTTTTAATCTTGAAGAAACCCAATTTGTGTTTCGAGGTTTGATGAAATAGACAACAATTTGGAATTTCTTAATCTTATTTGGGTTTTGAGAGATGGAAAGAAGGAGAATTTACAGAAGTCAATGGGAACGATGAGGGTGGGTGCGTGGGGAGGAAATTGAAGAAGAAGATGAATAATTATCTTTTTCATATTTAATTATTTTAAAGTTTTTATTATAGAAAATATAAACTGGTCATTTTACCCATAATTTAATTTTGTTAATTTTGAGTCAAACATCTAATTTAAGAGTTGACTAACGGATAAATGGATGTAATCTTTCAAATGGACTCCAGCTACAATAGAAGTCAAAGGTTTGAAATTGGGACTACAAAATGAAATGTCAAGGTGTCTTCTAAAGAAAAATGAAATGTTTGTGACCTT